AGACACTAGATCCTGTTTGCTCTGGGACTATAGCACAGCCCCACCTTTTCCACCACTTAAAACTTTAATTTTTTTACATCCCATAGAGTAACTGGAATGAGATTGTTGACAGCTTTGATGACATGAATCTCTCGGAGTCCCTTCTCCGTGGCATCTACGCCTATGGTTTTGAGAAGCCTTCTGCCATCCAGCAGCGAGCCATTCTACCTTGTATCAAGGGTGAGACCTCTCAGTCCCTGAAGACATTTTGGACTGTCCCTGACCTGGGTAGAGTGGCATCTGGTTGGTGGTGCCCATCTCATATCAGCCAGGGATAAAGCAACCCCTTGTTCATCCCAGCTTGGCTTTTGATCTGTGCCTATGCCTGGTTCATGCCTTGGACACACAGGTTTCCTTAAAAGAGATGGTATTATAGCCACCTTGTACTTGCTTGTACAGCCGTACTTCTAGTTCAGCTTGGTGTGCAATACTAGATGAGTTAATAACCTGTCCTTGTTTCTGATCTGTTTCCCATTGTGTAACTGTTGATGGGGTAAGGTAGCTTGTGAAGCACGAAATGCTTGGTTCACTGATCTCGTTAACCTAGGGCTTGGATATCCCGAAGTATGTGCTCGTCACCACGTTTAACTCCTAATTTATTTGTTTAGGTTATGACGTGATCGCTCAAGCCCAATCTGGGACTGGGAAAACGGCCACATTTGCCATATCGATTCTGCAGCAGATTGAATTAGATCTAAAGGCCACCCAGGCCTTGGTCCTAGCACCCACTCGAGAATTGGCTCAGCAGGTAAGAGTGGCTTTTCCCTCCTAAAGGGCTGATTTAGGGATGATGGGCATAATCCAAGGACCAGAAGTTTATTTCTGATCACCAGTTTGGGAGGAAGAGATGGGCACCCTAATACTCTTGATCTGCTGGCTTAATTAGAAGCTGTTTCCTGCCTAAACAAAACCATCACTTCCTCCACCTATTTTCTGAGTCAAATGGGAAGGTTCTTGGGTGGAGCCTGGCTGGCTGGGCAAGTTTGGTGGCTGTTTTCTAAATAAGCACCTTCACAGTGGGCTAAGAGACACCTCATTGGTGGTGGTGCTTTTAGGCAGAGCAGATGGACAGTCTTTTTTCACCCTGGCTTTAATGGGCAGAGCTGTTTTGTCTCTAGGGCACATACATTTCTAATGCTGGACTCTTCTTCCTGGGTCATGCTGAGACACTAGTCTCAAACCAGAGTATTTATCGAGGCTCAGGGCATTAAACGTTCTGTGGCAGATGCAGTGATTATTCTGGGTGTGGATAATGTGGGAAAAGTTACAGCAGAGTTCTGTTCTAAGGCATTTGGGTCTCAGTTTTTCTCTGAGTGAATATGCCTTGTAGCTTGGGTCCTATGACAGGAGTGCAGTAAGACATAAACGTGCTCGCTTGTTTTATAAAACTGGTTGCTGGCTGGGCACGGTGTCTCACTCCTGTAATCCAAACACTTTGGGAGGCTGAGGCAGGCAGATCACTTGAGGTCAGGAGTTAGACCAGCCTGGCCAACATAGTGAAATGCCATCTCTACAAAAAATACAAAAATTAGCCAGGCATGGTGGCAGGCAACGGTTATCCCAGCTACTTGGGAGGCTGAGGCTGAGGCAGAAGAATCACTTGAACCCGGGAGGCAGAGATTGCAGTGAGCCAAGGTTTTGTGCCATTGCACTCCAGCCTGGATGACAAACAAAATGGTTTTTTTTAAAAAAAAAAAAAAAAAACAAAAACACGATCCTGGTTGCTGCATGATGAGGCAGCTGGTCAAATTAGCTTTCAGAAAGTTAAGGGTTCTGAATGTCTAGAGTAAGACACTGAATTATCTTAGCAGCCTTATTGTGAATCACTGTACACTCAGGAACCAGACTGAGTTGAAATCCTATCTTGCCACTATTGACAGCACCATCTTAAGGATTTTAACCTCTGCCAGTTTCTCAGCTGAATGTGAGATTACTAATAGAGCACACCCCCCGGGGTGGTTGGTTAGGAATAAATATGTGAAAAACATTTAAGAATTGTGCTTGGCACAGTTGTTAGCTAATATATGAGCACCTGTTTTTCTCTGGGCTCAGATACAGAAGGTGGTCATGGCACTAGGAGACTACATGGGTGCCTCCTGTCACGCCTGTATTGGGGGCACCAATGTTCGTGCTGAGGTGCAGAAGCTGCAGATGGAAGCTCCCCATATCATCGTGGGAACCCCTGGCCGTGTGTTCGATATGCTTAACCGGAGATACCTGTGTAAGTAACTGAGTTCAACAATCCCCTAGGTCACTTCCTCTCGTGCATGCTTCCCAGTCTTTCAGCTTAAACCAAAGTTATTCCCGAGGATGCTTATTTCCCTTACGGGAAGAGTTGCTCTGTGATGAGGCCCATGCGTGTCATCTGAGCCTGGCTTCCCTGGCAGCGCAGCCCAGGCAGTGTTCTACTTCCCAGGGCTGTTGTCTGGCCAGGAAGGAAAGTCCTCGGCAAAGGATCAGTCTTTGTATTCTGAGAGCAGACTACTTGGCCCCTCGGTTATCAGGAAAGTTGGGTATATGTATTACACATTTACCTAATTATATACTATATATTGGCTTTTTTTATTCTCTAGCTCCCAAATACATCAAAATGTTTGTACTGGACGAAGCTGATGAAATGTTAAGCCGTGGATTCAAGGACCAGATCTATGACATATTCCAAAAGCTCAACAGCAACACCCAGGTGAGGGCAGTCTTGCTTGAATAGCTAACAATACCTTTCTTTCTTTTTTTTTTTTTTTTTTTTAAAGAGTTTGGCTCTTGTTGGCCAGGCTGGAGTGTAGTGGTTGCACTGCCTCCCTGGTTCAAGCAGTTCTCCTGCCTCTCAGCCTCTCGAGTAGCTGGGATTCCAGGCATGCACTACCATGCCCAGCTGAGTTTTTGTATTTTTAGTAGAGAGGGTTTCACCATGTTGGTCAGGCTGATCTCGGATTCCTGACCGCTCAGGTGTTTGTCCACCTTGGCCTCCTAAAGTGCTAGGATTACAGGCATGAGCCACCTCACCCAGCAATGATTCTTTTCTAGAAGAACCAAATTTTGGATTCTTGCCTTGAGGCTTTTTTTGCACTCATTTCAGTTTCAGGTGTGACTAGGGAAGGGAGCAGGTGTCAGAAAGGATCTACAGCTCTAAGGCTGGCCTTTTTCTCCATTAGGTAGTTTTGCTGTCAGCTACAATGCCTTCTGATGTGCTTGAGGTGACCAAGAAGTTCATGAGGGACCCCATTCGGATTCTTGTCAAGAAGGAAGAGCTGACCTTGGAGGGTATCCGCCAATTCTACATCAATGTGGAACGAGAGGTGGGGCCCAGTGCAGGAGGCGGGCCTGGTAGTGAGTTGTTGGGTATAGCCCCTGACTGATTTTGTCCCCCCACCTCCAGGAATGGAAGCTGGACACACTGTGTGACTTATATGAAACTCTGACCATCACCCAGGCAGTCATCTTCATCAACACCCGAAGGAAGGTGGACTGGCTCACTGAGAAGATGCATGCTCGAGATTTCACCGTCTCTGCCATGGTGTGTTTGCTCACTGCTAGCCCTTTGTGGGTCTGCCTGTCAGAAGCGTCCTCCTTCAAGCCAGTGTTCCCAAAACCCATGTACCTGCCTGGCCTGGTACATGTTTGTTTTCTCTTCTAGCATGGAGATATGGACCAAAAGGAACGAGATGTGATCATGAGGGAGTTTCGATCTGGCTCTAGCAGAGTTTTGATTACCACAGACCTGCTGGTGAGTAGAAGGAATTTACTGGAAAGGCAGAAGGGAGGATCCAAGGTGATTCCCTCTCCAAGGGGACATCCAGTGCCCCTCTCAGGAAAGTAGCAACTTGGAATAGAATCTGGCATGCCTAAGGTCTTTGGGGGAACAGGGATGCTTATTTCCTCTGCTTGCCTTGGCTGCCTACACAGATACCCATGTGTATAATCCTTTCAAGATAGATTCTCATGCACGTGCTGAAGAGTTGTCTTTCTTGATGTAGGCCAGAGGCATCGATGTGCAGCAGGTTTCTTTAGTCATCAACTATGACCTTCCCACCAACAGGGAAAACTATATCCACAGGTAAGTGTACATCTGGAACACTGCCCCACCCCCCTCATGCCTGGCCTTCACTGGGCTTAAATTAAAGCTCCTCATGTTCCTCATCCGCTTCCCTTGTTTTCCAGAATCGGTCGAGGTGGACGGTTTGGCCGTAAGGGTGTGGCTATTAACATGGTGACAGAAGAAGACAAACGGACTCTTCGAGACATAGAGACCTTCTACAACACCTCCATTGAGGAAATGCCCCTCAATGTTGCTGACCTCATCTGAGGGGCTGTCCTGCCACCTAGCCCCAGCCTGAGTTCAGTCTTGGGGGGCTGAGGAGTAGCAGGAGGGGGGAGGGAAGGGAGCCAAGGGATGGACATCTTGTCATTTTTTTTTTCTTTGAATAAATGTCACTTTTTGAGGCAAAAGAAGGAACCGTGAACATTTTAGACACCCTTTTCTTTGGGGTAGGCTCTTGCCCCAGGCGCCGGCTCTTCTCCCAAAAAACACTAATCCATTTCCCTAACCTAGTGACCTCCAGATCCCAGAGGCTCTCCTCACCTCAGCTGAGCTCCTTTGAAAGTGATTCAAGGGACTGTGTCTCTCAGCCTCATTTGCTGGACCAAATCTGGAGGGAGAACCCTGAAAACCCCTCAGCGAGATTGCCCAGGGGATTGTCCCCAGGTGGGGGGAAGCAGGGGAGAGAAAATGGTAGCCATTTTTACATTGTTTTGTATAGTATTTATTGATTCAGGAAACAAACACAAAATTCTGAATAAAATGACTTGGAAACTGCCTGTTTGGGCTTCTCATTTCTTACCTCCCCTACCCCCTTCCACCTGCTATTGGGTGCATCTCCGCTCCCCGCTTTGCCAGCAGATAGTTACCTTTGGCTGTGTTGCTTTCTTATCACCATCTGAGAGTTCCCAAATGCTGAAGAGCAATGTTCTTAGTACTGAGAATGGTGATGACAGGAGTGCCACCCCTCTGTAAAGGGCTGGGTGTGGACATCACAAGCCCCTCATGTGCCTCAGTCAAAAGGAAGTAGTAGATGGGCCAGCCACAAGGTCAAGGTGAAAGGGGAGTGGAAACACTTCCCCACTGAGGGAGGGGCTGTTCCCTTAGACATCTGCCACAACCGCCAAGCAAGTTTTGCTGAGTTAGAGAAATGGGTCCCTGTAAGTCAACAGCCTCAGGGTTTTGTACCCACGTGACACTGTTGACTTCACCCTGATTGCTCCCACTTAAGTGGGGGCCGGCAGTCCCCTAACAATTTTCAAAACTAATGACTAAGAGATGGGTGGCTGGAGCTGAGGTCCCTGAGTCAGGCTGTGGGTGGGATCATCTCCAGTACGGGAAGTGAGACTTCTCATTTCCTCCTTTCCAAGAGAGGGCTGAGCCAGTAGGGTTGAGCAACTGGTACTGACAGCCGAGCTGTACTCTGGGTGAGGCAGTTCAGCCATGAGGCTGGCTGTGCTTTTGTTGGGGGCCTTGCTGGGGCTACTGGCAGGTAAGGAGGAAGGCAGCTGAGGGGAGGGGGCCCCTGGGAGGGAGTTGGCCCCTGGGTTGCTAACCGTCTCCTCTGCCAAAAGCCCAGGGGACAGGGAATGACTGTCCTCACAAAAAATCGGCCACTCTGCTGCCGTCCTTCACGGTGACACCAACGGCTACAGAAAGCACTGGAACAACGAGCCACAGGACTACCAAGAGCCACAAAACTACCACTCACAGGACAACCACCATAGGCACCACCAGCCATGGACCCATGACTGCTACTCACAACCCCACCACCACCAGCCACGGAAACGTCACAGTTCATCCGACAAGCAACAGCACTGCCACTCACAGTCCTGCCACCACCAGTCATGGAAATGCCACGGTTCATCCGAGCAACAGCACTACCACCAGCCCAGGATTCACCAGTTCTGCCCATCCAGGACCACCTCCACCCTCTCCGAGTCCTAGCCCAGCGTCCAGGGAGACCATTGGAGACTACATGTGGACTAATGGCTCACAGCCCTGTGTCCACCTCCAAGCCCAGATTCAGATTCGAGTCATGTACACAACCCAGGGTGGAGGACAGGTAAAGCAAAAACTGGGGGATGAGAGGTGAGGGAGGCAAGACTGGCTATGGGCTCAGAGGGAAGAAGGAAGGGGAATGGGACAGGGAAACTTGGGTGTCATTGCATGCAGTCTTATGACCTTCTGATCTTTAACTTCCACAGGCCTGGGGCATCTCTGTACTGAACCCCAATAAAACCAAAGCTGAGGGGAGCTGTGAGGATGCCCATCCCCACCTGCTTCTCTCATTCCCCTATGGACAGCTCAGCTTTGGATTCATGCAGGTATAGCCCATGACCTCAGTCTCATCCGTCACTGTCTCCCAGCACCCCACCCCTCCCAATCCCACGCCCTACTCCTTCCTCTGTGGAGATGGATGCCACTTGGCCCTGCTGCCCTGCTGTCCTGTTCACCCCACAGGACCTCCAGCAGAGGGCTGTCTACCTGAGCTATATGGCAATGGAGTACAATGTGACCTTCCCCCAGGCAGCAGGTGAGTAACCTCCTTCCCTTTCCCATTGCTACCACTAGACGCCAGGGTTCCTGAAAGGACTAAGCTGGGGACGAGGAGGTGGATAGGATCTGACCCCTCTCCTCACTCCTGCAGAGTGGACGTTCTCGGCTCAGAATGCATCCGTTCGAGATCTCCAAGCACCTCTGGGCCAGAGCTTCAGTTGCAGAAACTCGAGCATCGTTCTTTCACCAGCTGTTCACCTCGACCTGCTCTCCCTGAGGGTCCAGGCTGCTCAGCTGCCCCATACAGGGGTCTTTGGGCCAAGTAAGACCCACGACCTACTCCTTTCCTCCTAGAATCCTCCCACAGGCCCATAAGCCACTCGTGTCTCTTCTTAAACCCCCCTCCCCAATCACCTTGCTGTCCCTGGCTTGCCATGTCTATAGGGCAGCTGTCCTCCCATCCTCTGCAATACTCTGCCAGTTTCCCCATTATCACTGCTCTGAGTCACCGCGGTGAGCTCCTCACCAATCTCTTACTCCCCAGCATCCCCCCATGCCCTCCTCCCACCTTGATGTCAACCACCACGTCACTGCAGTGGCTACCTGCCCTATCCTTCCACCAGGTTTCTCCTGCCCCAGTGACCGGTCCATCTTGCTGCCTCTCATCATCGGCCTGATCCTTCTTGGCCTCCTTGCCCTGGTGCTTATTGCCTTCTGCATCGTCCGGAGACGCCCATCTGCCTACCAGCCCCTCTGAGCATTTGCTCCAAACCCCAGGGTACTAGGGGGACTGGGATCAGGTGTGGTGGGGTACCCTCATTTCCTTGACATGCAACTGGCTCAAAGACAAAGTTATTTTACTTCCCTGTCTTTCTTGAAGAACAAAAATAGAGTTGGGTACAATAGCTCATGCCTATAATCCCAGCACTTTTGGAAGCTGAGGCATGTAATTCACTTGAGGAGTTTGAGACCATCCTGGCCAACATGGTGAAACCCTGTCTCTACTAAAATACAAAAAAGCTAGCCAGGCATGGTGGTGCGCGCTTGTAGTCCCAGCTACCGTGGAGGCTGAGGCAGGTGAATCGCTTGAACCCAGGAGGCAGAGGTTGCAGTGAGCCAAGATCGTGCCACTGCACTCCAGCCAGCCTGGCGACAGAGACTCCGTCTCAAGAGGAGGAAAAAAAAAAAAAAAAAAAAAGAACCAAAAATAGAGATAATTGAGTCGGGAGGAAGGAGGGAGTGAATTTTAGTAAACGTGACAAACTGCCCCCGCAGCAGGAGACCAGCAAAACTTATGCAAATCTTTGACTTGGGTTTTCCTTGTCCTGCCAGGATTAAAAGCCATGAGTTTCTTGTCACATGCCTTTCTGTGCCTTCCATGGTTGGGTCTCAGGGAATCGGAACTAGCTGCTGAGGGATGCAAATCTCATGGGTTCACCCCCCAAAGCCTGCACAGCTGGTGTTGGGTCTGCCGTGCCTCCCTTCCTTCCTCCTCTTGGGGCCACTGGCTGCTCCCGTTCCCCATCCCTGGCAAGCTGGTAGAGCCACCCATCCTCCCAGCCTTTTCCTGACCCGTACGATTTCAAATGCAGCAGACAGCCAAAACGATGTGGGGGAGGCTGTGTAATTTCATTTCCAAAGGCAGCACCAGTGGCTCCTGAGCAATAATATCCTATCCTGTCAACTGGGGTCAGGGCCTGCAGAAAAGCCCGATTAAACCCTCGCTCCACCTGGGATGCTCCTAGCCCACCTGCAAGGGGTTGAATCAAGGAGAAGCAGTGGGTACCCTGACCTCCACTGGGGGCTCCTGGAAACAGCATGCCCCCTACACAGGACCACTCGCCAAGTCTAACTTCTCGACCCAGTACTTGAGACGAGGAGGAGTGTCACTCTCGGGACAGCCAAGGTCCAGATTCTAGAAAGGGTCTCCCAGATGCCACAGCCTACACCACCAGTAAATGCCAGTCCCACCCGTTATAGTAGGCTGTGGCACAATCGCTGGGAGCCAGGATAAGCAGCACCCCCCAGCCGCAGAAGTCCCAGGAGGGCTACCAGCCTCCAAGACCCAGAGACTGCCCCACAAGGGCAGCCTTCACCTGGCAGGGCCCCAGCAGTCCCACCTCTACTTGCAGACATCCCGTGTGACCTTGCATTCTGTGGAGCAGGGGCCACCAAAGGGCTGCTCCACGGCGGGATGGCGCACAGGTGGGCGCTCTGGGTTGGCGTCCCAGCGCTGGGTAACGAAGCACAATGCTCCCACCAGGCAGTCCAAGGTGCCCTTTCCCAAGCAGAACTGTAGGGCCCATTCGGCCTCGCGGAAGTCTCTGCCCAGCACGTGGAGCGCCCTGCGGGGAAGGGGAGAACTGAAGGGCTGCTACACCAGGCCTCGGCTTCCCAGAGACGGCCAGCTGTGCGACCCAAGGGGTGATTCAGGGGCTGCGCTTCCCCGGCGTGGGCTCGCCTCCCCCACCTCCTCCTCTGCTTCACTGTTGCAGGCCTGGCAGTTGCCGGCTCACCCACGCACCGAGGCCTGGGCGAATCCGAGGCGAGACACGCACGGGGTGGTGCGTGCAACCCGGCGCCTAAGGAGGCCTGCCAGGTGCAGACGCTTCTGCTCCCGCCGGCGCACTTCCCTCTAGAGATGCCGAGAAAACGGGAGTTAGTAGCGCCCCCACTCAACGCCGCCTCGGAGACTCGAGCTCCTTCACTGTCAGCCTCGAACAATACAAAGTGTACTAGGACAAGACAAGATGGCGCCTAGCAGGAGGAGCGGAGAAAGGCAGGGGTGTAAATCTGGCTTCCAAACTGGAAGCGACAACAAAGACGTGGGACGTTTAACTGCGCAGGCGTGCAGCTTCCGCAAGCTTTAGAATTCCACCGGGGGGCGCGTCCAAAACGTGGTCCCTGACTGAGACTTATTTTACGCCACTAGAGCGGTGATGGGTAGCGTCAGAAAAAGCAGGGAGCAGCCGGCTGGCCAGCTTCGCCGCGGGAAAAGAACGAGGCGGAGTGTCCGCGGCGCGCACGCGCAACGAAAGTCAATGGCGGTCTGGAGAGACTGGCGGAAGCCAGCTTTGCAATATGGCGGCTGAGGCAGACGGAGCGCTTAAACGGCTGCTCGTGCCGATTCTTTTACCTGAGAAATGCTACGACCAACTTTTCGTTCAGTGGGACTTGCTTCACGGTGAGTTTTATTCAGCATCCGATCCAAGTCCTGCTCGAGTGACCCGTGGACCCTTCTTATTCCAAGGCTTGACCGGCGATTGACGGGAATTACTGCCGCCACGCCGAGCTGGACGGAAGTCACTTCCGAGAGGGGCGGAAGTGTCTCGGGCTCCTTAGAGGGAGGACGCCATATTTGTGCCAGTGGGGAAGTCCCCGGGTGGAATTCTTTATGGAGTTTGTGATTTAGCGACAATGAAAGACGAAAAGAGTCAACTTCTATAAACAAAATAAAAATCAAGTCAAATCGTGCCAACCTTTATTAGATCGCTAGCAGAATTAAACTTAATTCAAAGCCCCTGATGAATCGGGTCCCCTTCATTGCACCCCCAAAGGCTCTACCATCCTGATTGCTTTCTTTCCAGCCTCCTCATAGTCTGATTTCGGAATAATTTGCCTTCCTTCCTTTGTATTTATTTTTTTTTTTTAGAGACAAGAATCTCACTCCGTTGCCCCGGCTGTAGTGCAGTGCCACGATCTAGGCTCACCACAACCTCTTCCTCCCGGGTTCAGGCTGTTCTCTTGCCTCAGCCTCCTCAGTGGCTGGGATTACAGGCATGCGCCACCATGCCCCGCTAATTTTGTATTTTTAATAGAGACGGGGTTTCTCCGTGTTGGTCACAGTGGTCTGGAACTCCCGACCTCAGGTGACTGCACCCCTCCGGCGCTACAGGGGTGAGCCACCGCGCCCAGCCTTTCCTTCCATATTCTGATTGTGAGACAGCTTCGCAACAAGGCCCACCGTCAGACTATTTGGCAAGCGTCAGTATGCCCGTCAGTTCATACTACCTGTCTTAAGTTCGTGGGGCACTTTGTTTTAGCCGCATTTATGACCCGTGAGAGTCTGACTCCCACTGGACCAAGCTCCCTGAGGGGCAGGCTTCAAGGCTGGAGAAGTTACGGATGGCCAGAGCATAAAAGCTAGCCATAGAAGGGTAAGGTTTAGTCACTGAGTAGGGGCCAGGGACAGAGTGTTCAAGAAAGAGTCGTATGGGCCAGGTTGGGTGGCTAGTGCCTGTAATCCCAGCACTTTGGGAGCTGGAGGCGGGTTGATCACCTGAGGTCAGGAGTACCAGACCAGCCTGGCCAACATGGTGAAACCCTGTTTCTACTAAAAATACAAAACATTAGCTGGGCACGGTAGCGGGTGCCTGTAATCCCAGCTACGCAGGAGGCTGAGGCAGGAGAATCACCTGAACCCAGGAGCGGAGGTTGCAGTGAGTGGAGATCGCCATACCACTGCACTCCAGCCTGGGCAACAGAATGAGACGTCCTCTCAAAATTTAAAAAAAAGAGCCCTCCCTCTCTCCTGCCCTCGATCACTCCTTCACCCTCACAAAAAATAAAAAAATAAATAAATGATAGGAAGACCTGTCTTTGGAGAAAGAAGACATGTGAAATGGACGGGCCACCCATGGGCTCAGAGAAAATTCTCAGACATTTCTCAGCTTTTTTTTTTTTTTTTGAGACAAAGTCTCACTCCATCACCAGGCACCAGGCTGGAGTGCAGTGGCGCGACCTTGGTTCACTGCAACCTCCGCCTCCCGGGTTCAAGCAATTCTTATGCCTCAGCCTCCTGAGTAGGTGGAACTGCAGGCGCACGCCCCCGCGCCCGGCTTTTTTTAATTTTTTTGAGATGGAGTTTCACTCTTGTTGCCCAGGCTGGAGTGCAATGGCACAATCTCAGACCACTGCAACGTCACCCAGGTTCAAGGGATTCTCCTGCCTCAACTTCCCGAGTAGCTGGGATTACAGGCATGTGTCACCACGCCTGGCTAATATTCGTATTTTTAGTAGAAACAGGGTTTCTTCATGTTGGTCAGGCTGGTCTTGAACTTCCGACCTCAGGTGATCTGCCCACCTAAACCTCCCAAAGTGCTGGGATTACAGGCGTGAGCCACCACACCCAGCCTATTTCTTACTTTTATACAGGGAAGCAATGGAGATCTTGAAGATCAAGCCAAGTCTGGATGTTAATTTATAGGGAATATAAGATTGGATGTGGGGTGGGTAGGCACTGGAGAAGAGCTGTTGTGGAAAGTAATAGTCTGGGGTCAGGCATAGTGGCCTGTGATCCCAGCACTTTGGGAGGCTGAGGTGGGAGGTGGGTGGATCACCTGAGGTCAGGAGTTCAAGACCAGCCTGGCCAACATGGTAAAACTCCATCTCTACTAAAAACACAAAAATTAGCCGGGCATGGTGGTCCGAGCCTGTAATCCCAGCTACTTGGGAGGCTGAGACAAGAGAATTCCTTGAACCCGAGAGGCAGAGGCTACAGTGGGCTGAGATTAGGCCACTACACTCCAGCCTGGGGTACAGAGCAAGATGTCTCAAAAAAAAAAAAAAAAAAAAAAGGTGGTTTGGAGCAGGAAGGACTAGGCCTTTTTCCCTGCCCTCCGCCCCTCCTCCCCCAAGACAAAGTAAGACCGTGGTGTGGGTAAGTGGGGGTCGGGGAGAGCCCATGGGAATACTTCAAGCCTTGCTCTCGGTTTTCTCTTCTCAGTTCCCTGCCTCAAGATTCTCCTCAGCAAAGGCCTGGGGCTGGGCATTGTGGCTGGGTCACTTCTAGGTAAGTATCTTATTCCTGCTGTTTGGTTGGGGGTGGAGGTGCTAAGAGGCCATCTACTGTGAGTGTTGGCTCTGTAGCTGTTGTCTTGCATCCCAAAGAACAGAGCCTCGTCAGTCCTACTCTTCTCATCTTTTCCCTAGTAAAGCTGCCGCAGGTGTTTAAAATCCTGGGAGCCAAGAGTGCCGAAGGGTTGAGCCTGCAGTCTGTAATGCTTGAATTAGTGGCATTGACTGGGACCATGGTTTACAGCATCACTAACAACTTCCCATTCAGGTGAGGGGCCACCCATCCTCCCTGAGGGTAATACCACAACTCTAATGGGGATTCAGGTGAAGGAGGTTACAGGGCAGGAAAGTGGCTGGGGGAGGTGGCTCACGCCTGTAATCCCAGCACTTTGGAAGGCCAAGGTGGGTGGATCACCTAGGGTCGAGTTTGAAACCAGCCTGGCCAACATGGTGAAACTCCATCTCTACTTAAAAAAAAAAAAAAAAATACGCCGGGCGCGGTGGCTCAAGCCTATAATCCCAGCACTTTGGGAGGCCGAGGCGGGTGGATCACGAGGTCAAGAGATCGAGACCATCCTGGTCAACATGGTGAAACCCCGTCTCTACTAAAAATACAAAACATTAGCTGGGCATGGTGGCGCGTGCCTGTAATCCCAGCTACTCAGGAGGTTGAGGCAGGAAAATTACCTGAACCCAGGAGGCGGAGGTTGCGGTGAGCTGAGATCGGGCCATTGCACTCCAGCCTGGGTAACAAGAGCGAAACTCCGTCTCAAAAAAAAAAAAAAAAAAAAAAAAGTTAGCTGGGCATGGTAGTGCACGCCTGTAGTCCCAGCTACTCGGGAGGCTGAGGCAGGAGAATTGCTTGAAACCAGGAGGCGGAGGTTGCGGTGCGCCAAGATCACGCCATTGCACTCCAGCCTGGCTAACGAGTGAAACGGTCTCAAAAAAAAAATTAGCCAGGTGTGGTGGTGGGCACCTGTAATCCCAGCTACTTTGGAGGCTGAGGCAGGAGAATCACCTGAACCTGGGAGGCAGAGGTTGCAGCGAGCTGAGATCGTGCCACTGCACTCCAGCCTGGGCAACAAGAATGAAACTTAAAAAAAAAAAAAAAATGCAAGGGGGCAAGGAAGTTTTAAGCCCTTTTAGAAACAGAATTATCACCAGTGGAGGTGACCTTCAGAAGGGGTGATCATTCCAAGAATAGCCAAGATTCAGAATGAGCCACTCACATGTAGGGACTGTAGAGAAGCCTGAACAGAGCATCGTGTCCCTGGATGGGCTATGGAGGCTTTCCCTGCCTCTTTCTAGGCCCCCATTTCTTCCTCCCAACTCTTGACTCTGCAGCTCTTGGGGTGAAGCCTTATTCCTGATGCTCCAGACGATCACCATCTGCTTCCTGGTCATGCACTACAGAGGACAGACTGTGAAAGGTGCTGAGGACTTACCCAAGAGCAGGCTGCATGGTTCCTGGGTACTCTCGGACCTGGGAAAGCCAGATGATGTTGAGATTGACAAGGACTCCTGTCCCCCCACTCCTAGGTGTCGCTTTCCTGGCTTGCTACGGCCTGGTCTTGCTGGTGCTTCTCTCACCTCTGACGCCCTTGACTGTAGTCACCCTGCTCCAGGCCTCCAATGTGCCTGCCGTGGTGGTGGGAAGGGTGGGTACGAGGAGCAAGGGACAAGATGTTGTTGGGTGGACAGAGGGGGAAGGTCAAGGGGCAGACTGGAAGGTCAAAGTGTGGGGTGTTGGACTTGGGGGAGTGGGGAAATTAACGATGGTAGTATGGGAAGGGCTCAGATGACAGAGCCAAAGGTCTCCACTCCTCCCCTAGCTTCTCCAGGCAGCCACCAACTACCACAATGGGCACACAGGCCAGCTCTCAGCCATCACTGTCTTCCTATTGTTTGGGGGCTCCCTGGCCCGAATCTTCACTTCCATTCAGGTGAGTGCAGCATCATCTTTCTAGAAGGCACTAAAACCTTATCATCTTACTTCTCCCAACTAAGAGACAAAGCTGCCCCTATCAGTAACCTTTGTCCATAAGGGAACCTTTTTTGAGTTATGCTGAAGGGTAACCCTGGCTCTGTCTCTTATGACCAGGAAACTGGAGACCCCCTGATGGCTGGAACTTTTGTGGTCTCCTCCCTCTGCAATGGCCTCATCGCTGCCCAGCTTCTCTTCTACTGGAATGCAAAGCCTCCCCACAAGCAGAAAAAGGCACAGTAGAGCCAGCTGCTAGTCATTCCGTTTCCACTCATTTACCCAACCTCAGGGTTCTCCCCATCTGAGCCAGGCTGCTGGTGTGACTTACTCATCCGCCATTCCTCTGCAGTAGCAGACTTCCTGAGCCAGGGTTTGCTTTTAGCGGAAACAAACGGTTGATGGATCTAGATCCTTAGAAAAGGAGAGAATGGGGGTAGCATCTTCCAAGCCAAAATTTTGACATTTGAGTGCTTTTCTAAGCCCTGTACATGTACTATTAATCATTCAGCCAAGCCTCTTTCTCTAGCAGCAATTTCCGGCTGTTTAACCCTCTCCCTGGGCAAATGTTTTACCCTGGCCTCTAACCTTCCTACTTCCCTTCTGGCCCTACAAGAGAGTCTGAACATCAGAGTGGAGGGAACTAGGGGGCTGTGGCTGCTTTCCTGCCTCCCTCAGCCGGGCTGGGACTGCCTCCGAGACCCCAGTGCTGGGGGTGGGGGAAGGTGGACAGAGAATGACTCAGGCAGGGCCCCAGGGTGGGGTGAGGAGGTTCCTGCTCTGGCAGGTCTAGGCGGAAGGGAGTGGAGATGGGGCTGGTTCCTGCTGCAGTGAGGGGAACAGATGGGACAATAAAGACTGGAGACGCAGTTGAATAATACAAAACTGTGTTTAATACTACCAAAAATATAACTGTGTGCTGCTCTCCCTGGCTTCCACGGGAGGACTGCAGGCAGCCCCTGAACTGTAGTACAATACAGCAAAGGGTTGGCCGCCTGGGGTAGAGAATGCTGCCGGTTTAAAAAAGGAAGAGGGGGCCAATCCGGTGAGGTCTGCATCCATGAGGGTTAGAGGTGGGTTAGGGGCATGGGGGTACCAGAAAGGGGAGGGTTGTATGGAGTGGGAGAGCCAGGGGGCAGGTAGGGGACATAGGGGGGCAGCAGCTCCCCCTGGAGCCTAGGGTCACTCTGAGGGAGGGAGCACGGTGAGGGGGCCTCCAGTTTGCAGTGGGAAGAGCTGCAGAGAGAAACAAGAAGTTAGAGGGCACTTCCTGGATTGGAGGTGAGTCTGACCAGCTGTGTGCAGACAGGGTAGAGCTTGCCACCCACCCAGCCCTGGCTATGCAGCCCGCTGGGCGCAGCAGGCCTGGAAGCCGACCCGGCGATGGAGAGCCCGCGGCCCTGTTGGGGCACGCTCGGGAGCGGGCTTGCGTGCTGCAGGGCCTTTTCCTCTTGGGGCGTCAGGCCAGGAAGGGGCAGAATGGGCTTGGCCTCTCCTTACCCCGAGGGCTGGGAGAGGAAGTAGGGTCACACACAGGCCAGCAGCAGGGGGGAAATGGGGCATCTAACTAGGACACAATTGCATCCAGGGGTCTGTCACCTGACCCTGCAGGGCCGCCACCTCCAGACTGAGGGAAACGCCCTCTGGGAGAACCCTGGCCCGCCCCACTCTACACTGGCCTCGGAGGTACTGGGGTTCGTGAACCCCACACTTTGGCCCGGAGTGGCCTCTGCTTGGGTGGGCTCCCGTCCTCCGGCCTCCGCCCCCACGCAGGCTCCAGGAGAGGGGCGCAAGGGCCTCCGACTTCAGCCCGCTTCCCAGGCACTCACCCATAGCTGCCAGGCAAGTAGGCTGTCGAGTAGCTGGGAGGTTTGTACCCAAAGCCTCTGCTGGGTTGGGTGGTCGCGTACCCTGGCCCCCAGAGTGGGCCGCCGCTGGTCAGGCTGCCTCTTCCCTGTCCGCAGCGGGAAGGTCCGGCACCCGCGCTCTTGGCCTTGCGCCGAGGCCGGTACTTGTAGTCGGGGTAGTCGCGCAGGTGCCGAGCGCGGAGCCGCTTGGCCTCCTCCACGAAGGGCCTCTTCTCGTCCTCGCCCAGCAACTTCCACTGCGCGCCCAGGCGCTTGGAGATCTCGGAGTTGTGCATCTTTGGGTTCTGCTGCGCCATCTGGCGGCGCTGAGCGGAGCTCCACACCATGAACGCGTTCATCGGCCGCTTCACCTTCTCCAGGGGCAGCACCCCAGGGGCCGCGGGGCTCCCAGCACCTTCCCGCTCCTGGGGTCCCGAAGACGAGGAGGCAGCAGCCGTGGGAGCCGGAGGCTCCAGGCTCCAAGCCTGGTCCTGTGAGGAGCCCGGTAGCGCCATGGGTCGGCAGAAGCCTTAAGAGGGCGTCCTGAATGCCCTCCCCTCAACGTGAAGCGTCGATCCTGAAAATGGAAGGGTCTTCCCAATCTGGAGTCGTTGCCGACGAACTTGGGTTTCTAAAAGGTATATTTCATCCCTAAAGTCCAGCGCTTAAACTGGAGCCTTTGCTTCCAACCAGTTCGGCACACTTTGGGGAGAGCTGAATGCCAAATCCGCTGTCTGGTGTCCCCGCACTGAAGTGGTGCTGCCCTGAGGCCTCCTGACTGGGGGGACCCCCGGTTCCTCTCCCCGACCCGCAGCTGCGACCAGACCGACCTTCCGTGGAGGGGGTAAACCATAAAGCGCTTTGTGGTCTCCGGAGTTCCCGCTGCTGCCAAGCGCAGATGCCACAGACCTCTCCCACCTGGGCTCAGCGTTTGCGGCAGGCGGGCCAGACCTGGGAACAGCTTTTAAAGACTGACTCCGCCCCAGCCCCTCCCAGAAGACTGCCCTCTTTAAGGGCGCCAACATCCGCCGCCTGTAGATAAACCCAGGTGTCCTGTTTGTTCCAGCCTCCCAAACCTCAGGGTGACACGCCCCCCACACCCAAGACCTGCTGTCAAGCCTTCCAGCCCCTGGCTGTAATTGCCTCCCCTCCCTGAAGCAGTGGCAATTTAAAGCCATTTCTTTCCACAATGGGATCAAGCACAGGGGGATCAGGTGCCCTCAGGGCTGAGTTGTGCTGAGAGGAGCTTGGGAGCATCCCCCCCTCCCACAACCTCTTTCCTTGTGCCTATTGCTCTTCAAATTCCAGACCTGCCCCTGGGGCAAGAAAGGCTAAGGAGGGAGACCATTTTTGTTTCCTGAGTCATTCCAGCAGGTGCTTGGGCGGTGATTCAACCCCTTTCCCAAGTGAGAAAACTTAAGCCCTCCCAACTCCAATCCCTAAACCTGTATTTCTCCACTGCCATTGAATTATGGCAAGTTTTATCTTCAGTCCTCCAAGTCATGAGGGGGCAGCCAGGAAACCCAGGACAACTCCCCCGAGTTGAGAGGTCTGTTTTGGGCATGCTGGAGAAAAAGCTTAGAGCCAGATCAGAACACCAGCAAGGAAAGAAGCCTGGATACCAGGCTTTCAGAGGCTGCCGTGAGGGAACCCTGCTCCCCACTCTACCAAGGCCCAGCCCAAGCCCCAGGCTTCAGGTAATCGGATTAAGCAGCCTGCCTTGGCTCCCAGCTTCTAGCAGAAACAGCTCCAGCTCTGAGCAGCCCTGCCTAGCCTGTGCCATGACTCAGGGTATAGGAGTGGCCCAACTCCCTCTACCAGCAAGCTTGGGGGAGGGGAGAAGCAATAAGGCACAAGACCCCCTCCTCTGGACCAGGAGAGAGTACTTGGACCTGGGAAGTTTAGGAATGTCAGAAATTCCCAGAAGTAAGACCATCTTTGGGACAAGAGACAATGAGACGTCAGGTGTGGAGGAACAGAAAACAAGAGCCAGGGGCCAGGGCAGGTCAGTCCTAAAGAAACAGATGGACCATACTGGGGACAAAGGCGGCACAGGAGCCACAGAGCCATTTGGATTTTTTTTATTCTCTTTTTAAATACTGTACAGTGAAAAATAAATACGCCTTCTCATCCACCAGACAAGGTTGGTCCCCTCCCCCTGGGGACCTTGTCACCCCCCTTCATACACACCCCTGGTTCTACTCCAAAACCTTCCCCGTGCCTCCCACCCACTTATCTCTTACTATCCCCGTCTTCCACAGTGATGAGGCCCCAGAAATGGGGGGTACAGGATGGGAGGAGGGATAGCAGGGGAGGCCCCCTGAACGGTCAAATCTGGGTGGGTCAAGGAGCACCCCCCACCAACAGGTGGAGAATGGGGGTGTTCAGAGAGAGATTGGGGCATTAGAGGATAAAGGCACATCCAGTCTGATGGGGGAGAGAGGCTCCCCTTACCCTGGGGGTAGGGTGGACAAGAGGGAGGGGGTATGACCCTGTTACACACCCCTCCACTAGCTCCTGGAGGTTGGGGGGTACCCAAGCTGCTGTGCCACCCCCCTCCCCCCTAGATAAGAGCAGCTCCAGCGCAGGTCAGTTGGGCCCGTGAGGGCCATGGTGTTGGGCAGCAAGCGAGATGGAGAAGGGAGGGATGCAGGCTGGAGGTTTTATGAAACCCCATTCACCATACTACCCAACTCCAAGGGGGCAGAGAGCTCCCCATTCTCCGAGGGGCCCTTAGGAAGCTTGCTGACAGAGTCACCCTGAGGGGCAAGTGGGAAAGAAAACAGAAAATCAAGCACACGGTGAGCAGAAACCCAGGTGGGTGACATTTCCTACCATCCATGCACTCCTGGCATCTGGTGATCCAGAGGTTGGTTCCTTGATCCCATGATCCAGTCTCTCTTACTTGGGATCCAGAAAATGTGAACTACACATTCTTCTCTATCCCATTCAAAGTTGACACTATTCTAAACTCCATCAGACACAACTGCCTCTGCAATTCATTAACAGATTTCTTTTTTCTTTTGAGATGGAGTTTTGCTCTTGTTGCCCAGGCTGGAGTGCAATGGCACAATCTCAGCTCACAGCAACCACCGCCTCCCCGGTTCAAGCCATTTTCCTGCCTCATCCTCCCGAGTAGCTGGGATTACAGGCATGCACCACCACACCCAGCTAATTTAGTATTTTTTAGTAGAGACGGGGTTTCTCAATGTTCGTCAGGCTGGTCTTGAACTCCCGCCCTCAGGTGCTCCACCCGTTTCAGCCTCCCAAAGTGCTGAGATTACTGGCATGAGCCACCGCCCCCAGCCTCGGTAAGAGATTTCTTTGTGAAATTTTGTGTGCCCTCTGACCCATAATAATAACAAAAAAGGATAGGGTAAACCACATCTTGCCTGCCTACCTTCTGTCCTGAAAGAGAGTCCTCTGAGGGTTTAGTGCGTTCCAGGGGTGGCCGCTGGCGGCTCTGAGACTCTGCTCGTGAGATATAGTCAGCCACAGTCACTGGGGAAGGCAGGACATTAAGACTTTGAGATGGTTTGCAATGAAAACCATGAAAATTACAAAAGGAAAAAAAAAAAAGACTTTGAGATAATTCTGGTAGCCAGCCCAAGATACCCACTGAACCCAAACCCCTGATTTTCACAGGGTAGGAAGTATCCCATTCTCTCAGCTTTGCGGAAGGATTTTGGTGTCCAAAGTTGGCTGACCTGGTTGGCGGTCTCCACTGATAGAACCATCAGTCCGATTACCACGGTTACGGCGGCGGCGACTGCGATTACGACGTTGGGGTCTTGACTCATCTTCTGTTGGGTACGTAAAAACCAGAGTCACACATCCAACCTCCCACCCTCGATTCTTACCCATCTCTAATTTTCCAGACCCCAGGCACACCCTCACCCAGGCCATTCTCTGTCATGTTGGGCCCATCTGATTCCAGGCCTCCATCTATGACAGTCCTGTCTTCATCAGTGCGGCGGCGGCGGGAGCGGCGGCGCCTGGCACTTGCTGGGGGAGGTTCTCCAGGCTCTGAATC